TTCAAGAGTTGAAAAAAAAAAAAAAAAGGAAGATAAAACGTTTCCCAGTTAAACGTACATTTCCTTCTAAAGGAGCTGTTTGTTTTCTTCTCTTCTGAGGTGAGTTTAACTCCTCAGAGAAGATATGTTTGTCTTCAGCCATAAGAGGAACGGATCAGTAGGGTCATTGTTGTCTTTACAAACTTGACCATGCTAGAAGACATTACACTGTGAACTTTCTAAGCCAACTCACTTGTGTGACAGTAGTTTCAGATTGAGTCATTTCTTAGGGATTAACACAGTTCGCTCAAGGCACTGAATTAGTGTACCACCACCCCATAGCAAACTGGCTCACATTCATTCACACAGCCTGATGCCAAATAACAATATAAGTGATGCTGACTTTCTTTAGAGAGCATCAGAGAGCTCTGTGTATTTAGCTCCCACTGAATATCATTCTGCACAAAGGCGTGTAGTGTCTTAGTTAGTGTTTCTATTGCCGTGATGAAACACCATGGCCAAAAAGCAAGTTGGGGAGGAAAAGGTTTATCCGGGTTACGATTCCACATCACAGTTCATCATCACAGAAATCAAGACAGGAACTCAAGCAGAGCAGGAACCTGGAGGCAGGAGCTGATGCAGAGGCCATGGAGGGGGGCTGCTTACTGGCTTGCTCAGCCTGCTTTCTTGTAGAACCTAGAACCACCAGCCCAGAGCTGGCACCACCCACAGTGGGCTGGGCCCTCCCCCTATCAATCACTAATTAGGAAAATGCCCTAGAGGCTTGCCTACAGCCTGATCTTACGGAAGCATTTTCTTAATTGAGGATGCCTCCTCTCAGATGCCTTTGGCTTGCGTCAGGTTGACGTAAAACTATCCAGCACAAGGAGTATGACAAAATCACCTGCTCTCAGTGTGGTCAGAATCTAAATTTATGTACGGGGGAGGCGAATACACATGGGTCCTTAGAATGTACTCTGGTGAGTGCAGTATCATTGAAATATTCAAAGTGAAATCTTAGGGACCACCCTGTAATTTTTAATGGAAAATCCACAGTAGAGGCACGTTTGCTTATACCAGCCATCCCCAAGAAAGCAGGCTCACTTTCTTGGTTTGCCTATTATTTCAGCTCCCTGTGGCCCTGGGGTCCTGTGGGCCTCTGCAAAGTGAAAAGCCCAGCAGAGGAGAGACCACAGCAAGTCAGAGAGTATTTATGACTCCTTGGAAAAGTCACACTAAAGATGTATAGTAAGCCAGATGTTTTAAGAAAGCATTTCCCTCCTTCCTGTTTTTGTAACAGCAGTTGGCAAAACTTTTCTATACAGAGACTGATAGTAAACACCTTTAGACTTTGCCCAGCGTACATTCTCCGTGGCACGTACACAGCTGAGCATTTTATCAGAGCACAGCAACAGGCTACACACAAGCCAGCCCGGGGCATTTCAGTATAGCTTTATTTACGTATCCTGGGCTTCGGGCGGTTTGCCCTCAGGACAGAGTTTGCCAAGCCCTGTTCTATAAGCAATATTGTTTTCATCTTGATGGACAGTTAAAATTTACTGAAGGGCAGGACATATCGGATAACCTTAGAATGAAATAAGGACACTTGTTTAGAGTTCAAGACCTGGCCTCAGTCTTCTCTATAAAAAAAAAAATGAGGTAATTTAACACAATAACTCCCGTGATGTCTTGGACAATTGGTGTCCTAGCTCTATTTCTGTTGCTGTGATAAACACTATGATCAAAAGCAACTTGGGGAGGAAATGATTTATTTCATCCTATAAATTATGATCTGTCATCCAAGGAGACCAGGGCAGAAACTCTAGGCAAGAGATTGAAGCAGAAATCACTGAGGAATGCTGCTAACTAGCTTGCTTGAAATCTCCCAGTCAGCTGTCATACACGACCTGGACCACCTGTCCAGAGGTGCCATTGTCCACAGTGGCCTTTCCACATCAATTAACAGCCGAGAAGCTACCACCTAGACGTGCCCACAGGCCAATCTGATGGAGGCAATTCCTCAGTCGAGGACAATGAAAAGAAGTGGCGTCCCCAGGAGGTGCGGTAACTTCAGCCCGCTTTAGCGAAGGAAAGTGTCCGGCCTTACTTAGCTCCTTTGCCACACCTCAGGGTTGGGGTCAGTTCCAGGAGACGAGGAAATCCCCACCTGTGCAGTGAGAAAAGGCTAAAGCAGGTGACCTGCTCAGGAGTAGAGAAGGAACAGATCCCAGAGACCAAGGCATCCAAAGATGGAGTCCTACCAGGAGGAGCTTGTTGGAAATCGTTCCCCTTCAAGACCTGGATGAATGCTTGGACTGGACCTGGCATTTCAGTCTTTGTTGGAAGGTTGTGTGCAAAGACCGTCCAAGTGGAAGGCTGCTGCTGCTGCTGCCGCCGCCGCCGCC